CAAAGGCATATCAATTGAGTACATTATTTAGTAGGTAAAACTATAACTGACTGCTTTCAGCTGGGAGAACTAACCAGGAAACGGTTGTATTGTTTTGCCTTCTGTCTACAGATACTAGTATTAACACACATATTCGCTTGAAAATTAACTTCACGGATTTGGCCTATGATTCTGCAAGTGTTGTGCAGTGGGAGAATGACTTCACCGTAGAAGTAAGATGTAACTTAATCATTCTACCCCATATATATCCGCAACTGTTGTCCTTGAATTTCAGTGTGGAACAAAAGGTAGCAACTACATATATAAGCTTACAGTTGCAATTGAGTTTAGCTAACTAACATAATGGAAGAGGTAAAGTAGGTAAAAAGCGCATACGAGTCACATGGTGACATAATGCCACGCTCTTTTGAAGCAAAGAAACGCGTTTTTCGACATCAAAAATACATTAGGCTACTAAACCAGTAAAATCTCTGATTACAACATACTTTAAAGACCAAGTATCCGCAGTGTTTATTTTCAGTAAAGGTTTGTTAATCTCAATTTTCTGTGTGAATCCAGCTGTAAGGAAAAATAAGGCCAAGCGGCAAAACCCCCAGTTGGCTGCATGGTAGGAGTGTGAGATCTCTTGAACGCCTGAATGTTGTTCTTTTACCTTCAGTTGCCTTGAAGTTATGATTATATCAAAACGCAGTCCATTGGATTCATGCATTTTTTTTTTTACATTACAGGTGCAAACGTTATTCAATGACAGTGCAGAGTTCAGGGAAATTGATGCAGTGTCGGTCTCAGACAGGTAAATTGATACTTAGTCTACGTATTTTTAATTGCATTATATTAAGTAATACAATGACAAAGGCTTTTTCCATCCCTCAGCCTCCACTCAGTAGCTTTTGGTCATTTGTATCATTCTAGCGGAGCTCGTAAGAATACTATACCTATACTATAGTAGAAATACGTATCTCGCAAACCCTCGCCTTTATAATGCTCTCTCGTCCTGCAGGGACAACAGAGCGGACTGGGCGGCCAGGCGACTAGCTCGGTAGGGTCCGCCTGAATTAATGAATGAATGCATTTTGACGTTTTTTTCCATAAAACTATTCAAGTTCTTTTCGATTTGAAGTTAAGAGATCGTAAGTGAAAGTAACCAATATATTATAGCTATGCCTCTTAATCTTAAAAGCGAATTACAAAATGGTCTCATTTACTTATTTTCCAGTGGTGGCAATGCTTCGGTATCGTTTGAGTTAAAGTTTACGAGCATATCATGGCAAACAATGCTTGCGCTTCAGTTAGCTTTGGAGAACGGCACATTTCTTGGATCACATGGCGTATTTGACGAAGCCGATTGTAGTAGCCTGAATGATATCATCTGTAAGTTGGAATTAGATCTAAATTGGTCAAGAGATTACAAATCAAATGCGTTTTCTTTAAACTGAATGTATATATTCCATTATTTTCAGTTTTTTGTCAGGTGCCAAAGAACCCACGCGCATGGAAAATAACATACAAGCATGTCTACGTTCTCATGGAGCCAGTTATCCAGGAAGAACATGAGGGGTATTTTTATGCCTACCGACTCTTGTACAAAAATCTCGATAATCCCACATCATCGTGGCAGTTTTCCATCTACCGACAAAACGTTGGATCTATACTCCCAGTTGCTCATCCGCTAGCTCCTTACACCAATTACAGCTTTCGCGTTATGGCGTCATCTTTTCAGTCGGAAGGCCTCGTTTCAGAAGCTTTCCAAGCCAGGACTTATCAGTGGGGTATGTATAATTGATTTTAGTAAAATCCAACTAGTGGTCTATTATCAATGCTGCGTTCTGATTAGTTGAGCTATTACTAGGCTATATGTTATAGCCCACTAGTAGCGAAAAGCGCGGGCTTTTTGGTAGCAAAAAAGGATTAAAGTCTAGTTTTTTTTATTCTCGATATTTTTGACCAACTAGTTGGATTTTACTAAAACAATTATTCCTCTCGCCCTCATGGCCTCTGAGTCAATAGCCCATTCTGCCTTCGGTTTCATGGGCTAAAGACTCAGAGCCCATTTGGGCTCCAGGAATAATTGTTAATATAGTTCATACTCATATAACTGAGTTCCTTCTTTCATGGAAGTCGGGACCAAATCATGGTTCGAAGGCACTAAGGGTGGTTCTCTCTCATTGCTTGATTGACAGACTAATGTTTCCTGGCAGTCTAGTCCCTAGGCGTTTCCGGCTCGGTAAACCCTAGACTCTACCGTGAGCTGTGACGTCACCAAGAGAGACTCGCCGACTCGTTCCCTCGCTCAGCCTTTCCCAGACTTCTTTAAAGTGTCCCCGCACGCCCCGCACTTTAAAACGCGCTCTCCGCACACAACACATATGCATACGTTGCAGTAGTTGTTTGTTACAATGCCACGCCGTCACATGACCAATTAACAAATCTCGTTTTTTTACAACTCACAGTTCCCTCTGTTGGTCCAGAAATTGTCGCTTACTACAACACAAGCCCCTCTACATTCTACGTACAATGGAACCATACCATCCCAAACAGTAAAGTCAACGGTATTCTGATTGGCTACCGAGTTTCGTGGGATGATAGTGTTGCTGACCATCCTCAAAAAATTAAAGCACATAAAGATTTCGGGCTGGAAGCTACAAATTACACTATTATGAACCTTCATGAACACTGGCGTTACGAAATCGGCGTTGCTGGAAGGACGGCTGTAGGACCAGGGGAATTTACAGGAAGAATAATCACGACTCCTGATGATGGTAAGAAATCCATTTCTCATTTTAACTTTATTTTAATAGGGTGGCCCATTCAGCGCGACGACTGGTGTCCATAGAAAGCCTTTCTTTCCATAGGGGCCTCCGCAAAGAATAAGGCTCCGCCTTGAGTCAACCTCCACAATAATACTTTATCGTTTGAAAACGCATATATTTGTATCCGTTTTGGTCTTGAGTCGACGTTAAAATGATCAAAATCTTAAGTATGAGGTAATTTTGTTCCGGCCATGCAGAGAATGTATTTCCTTCAACTCTAACCAAAAGCACAGAAAAGCAAATTGATGGTTCCTATACTAGTAGAATGATTCGTACAGCACTAAACTTTTCTTGGAGGGACCACTTGACAAATGAAGATCTGTACGGTCACCTCCCAAAAGTTTCTATCAAGATCAGGGAAAGACCAATGAGCGCAGCTGGGCATTGTGTTAGACACAAAGAGAAGGAGACATCGAAGGTTATGTTGTGGCAGCTACAACACGGACAAACTAAGAGAGGAAGAGCTAGAACCACGTACATACGCACTTTGCTTGAAGACACCGGGTTGGCCACTATTAGAGAACTCAGAACGGTAATGCTACACCAAAGTGACTGGCGAGGGAGAATCCATGTTGTCCGAGCTAGCGCTAGCGCTCAATTCTAAATCTATATAATCGTGTTTATACGTATCCTCAGGGTTTATTGTACATTTAGAGGTTTGTTTCTTTAAAATCTCAATGGTAACGTTGCTTTTTCACGATCACAGGAAGATTTGTTGGCATTCAAGAAACTCAAGAACCACGTTACTTATTTAAGTACACGGGCTAAGCGTGCTTTCTACTCAGACTTTGTGAACGACAATAGTGAAAACCAAGGAAAGCTATTCAGGGCCACTCGATCATTGTTACTTCCTAGGAATGAGTTGTGTTTTCCAGAATACACGGACAACTCAATCTTAGCCAACGATATCGGGCGGTTTTTCGACCGTAAGATTGCAAAGATTCGGGCAGAGCTTGATGCGTGTACTCTTCATCCTGGGGCGGTGGCTGAGGATAAAGTGTTTACAGGCGATAGGAAACTTGATCATTTCAATACGTATTCTGTGGAAGATATAAGGAAGCTGGTCAGTAGATCATCGAAGAAAAGCTGTCAACTTGATCCTATGCCGACCAATTTAGTAGTCGGCATGTCCGATATGCTTCTCCCCATCATCACTAATGTCGTGAATTCTTCACTTTCCTTGGGACACTTTCCATCTGATTGGAAAACGGCCCTTGTGGATCCAAGACTGAAGAAGACCAAGCAAGGGACTTCCTTATCCAATTTAAGACCTGTGAGTAATCTGCAATACCTCTCTAAATTGGTTGAAAGGGCAGTTTATGATCAGACAACCGATCACGTTACTCAGTCGGGTTTGTATCCCATCCTCCAGTCAGCCTATCGACTTGGTCATAGCACAGAGACTGCCCTATTGAAGATACAGAATGACATACTAGCTGCAATGGACAATCAACGAGTTACTCTTTTGGTATTGCTAGACCTGAGTGCAGCATTTGACACGATTGACCACCAAGTGTTGTTGAATCGCCTGTGCGTGACGTATGGAATTACAGGTACCGCTCTTAAATGGTTTCACTCGTATTTATCAAACAGGAAACAGCGAATCCTGATTAACGGGAGCTATTCGAGTGACTTTGATCTGCCTCAAGGGGTACCTCAAGGATCATGTCTTGGTCCCTTGCTCTTCACGTTGTACGCAAGTAAGCTCTTCGATGTTGTTGAATCCCATCTCCCTAACGTTCACGCATACGCTGATGATACGCAGCTCTATATCTCATTTAAGCCGGATGGTTCTGCTACTGAGACGGATGCTGTTGACGCTCTACAAGCTTGCATCAGGGACATAAGAACCTGGATGGTCCAAGACAAACTTCGGCTGAACGATGCTAAGACCGAGTTTCTTATTATAGGTACACGCGCACAGTTAAATAAGGTTATGATAAGTGACTTGCAAGTAGGTGAGGTAAAGGTTTCTGCGGTTTACTCTGTTAGAAACCTGGGTGCTTGGTTTGATGCAAACATGAATATGACCACACATATTAACAGCATATGTCAGAATATTTATTACCATCTACATAACATCCGGCGTATTAGAAAGTATTTATCATATGATAATAGGAAGTCCATTGTACAGGCTATTATAATGTCACGATTAGACTATTGTAACGGTCTATTATATGGTACGCCCGCTGTTCATCTTGGTAAGCTGCAACGCCTGCAGAACGCGGCAGCTCGGCTGGTATGTACTATATCTAGGTATGATCCTATCACACCATCCCTGATCAACCTGCACTGGCTTCCGGTTACCCACAGAATAGAATTCAAGATAGCAATGCTAGTTCACAAATGTATCTACGGCGTCGCACCACAATATCTTTTAGACTTGATAAAAATCAAAGAGAGCTCGCGGTATCAGTTGAGATCATACCGGGGCATACTCCTAATGGACAATACCTATAGAACAAAAAAGACACTCGGGGATAGGGCGTTTGAAAATGCTGCGCCCAAAGTATGGAATCGACTCCCTCTAGAAATTAGACAATGTCAATCATTGAACATTTTTAAAGTTTTACTAAAGACACATCTTTTTAAATTAGCTTTTTATTAGTTCTTTTATTAACTCATATTTTACTTTTATTGTTTTCCGAAAATTGTAAATTATTATTATTATTATCATTATTTGGACTAGCCATTTATTCCTTTAAGATTTTAGTGTTGTAATGCGCACTCGATCATATCTTTATCGCATGCTAGACTGCGCAATATAAGAAATAAACATTATTATTATTATTATTATTATTTTTTACCCTAGCGTAAATCCTCTTTTAAGCCCCCCTCTCAAATAAGCCCCCTCTCTCTAATAAGCTCCCCCTTTTCAGGGGAAGAAAGTTAATAAGCCCCCCTCTCTTTTAAGATCCCCTCCCCTCCCCCTTATTATTCTTCACCAATAATTGATAGACTGTATCAATCACTTACTACTGTAAAACTTCAAGTGGACTGATCGGGGATGATTTATTTACCAACTGGAAGTTCGAATTTCTTTTTGATCCTCGGCTGCATGACCTCCAATTTCTTGTACTTGAGCTTTTCCACCTTGTCTTCTAGTTCTTTATAAGGAACTGATATCATCGTCTTTCCTAGATTAAATAAGCCCTTCCCTCTAAAAAATAAGCCCCCCGTCTCTATTAAGCCCCCCCCCCTCAAATGTGTTTGAAATAAATAAGCCTCCGGGGGGCATAATGGAAGATTTACGGTATATACATGACGACATTTTCCTTTCTCCAGCGCCCTCGGCTCCACCGGCCGTTATCACCCTTGACATGCACAATTCTAGTGCCTTACTGGCTACCTGGAAGGATGTTCCGTTAATTCATCAAAATGGAATCATTCTTGGCTACCAGATTCAATTACAGCAGGAAGAAGGCGGCCCAATTGTGTGGAATGTAACCCTTGGACCGAATGATATTTCATTTAGTTTTACAGACCTTGCCATTTTTCAGAATTACTCACTACAGGTAAAAATAAGCGAGCTAGGTATTTGTGAACATACCGTAAAATTCCGAAAATAAGCCCCTCCACGTATAAGCCCCTCCAAATATAAGCCCCCCAAACCTGTAACGCAAAAATATAAGCCTCCCCGGGGCTTGTACTTAGAAAATTGCCCTCAAATACAAAGTAAAAAAAGCAAAAACAGTAAATTTACTTCCAACTATAAGGCTAGCCCAATCTATTTTGAAACGCAAGTTTCCCTCCATAGATAAGCCCCTCCGAATATAAACCCCTCCAAAAATAAGCCCCTCAAAAAGGGCCTTTGAAAAATAAAAGCCCCGGAGCTTATTTTCGGAATTTTACGGTATGGTTGGATTTAAAATCAACTGTTCAATAAGTTCCCCTTTGTTGTTGAGGCCTCTTATCAGGACAGCCATCTTTTCTTGTGTCACCTTCATTTCAGGTCATGGCGTACAATAGAAAAGGAGCCGGTCCATACAATGACAAGGTCTATCAGATGACGGATGGAGCTGGTCAGTGAATGAAATAAACTCAGTGATCAATGTTTAGATAATTTGCCCAGTACACTCATGGCTTATTTAGGACCTTGGGGACTGGTGCCGACTTTTTTAAAGTTTGTTTCAATTTGTCTGAAGTGTGACTGAGCAATCATCTATTTTGTAATACGAGGATATTATTTTTACTATAATAGGCGTTTCTTTTATGACTTTTTAGTTTAAAGCAAATAGTCAATGAATATGGACAAAATAATTGAAGATACCCTTTTAGACGTTTTGCTTTTTTAAAATTTTTTTATAGCCATGTTTCGGTGCATATTTCTCTCTATCGTTTTTGAGTGGTCCCTTTCGAGAAGCTACTCCATCGTTTATATATTCTCTGATAAATTTCACTTTGTTACTAATTCTTTCAGTGCCTATAAATTCTCCTACAAATCTAAGAGCGCACAACATAAGCGCAACTGCCATCCAAATACAATGGGATTATGATGACGATCCCCGGTTGGTGTTAGGCGATCTGTCAGGTTTTACACTGTACCTACATGAGGCCAACGCTGACGATGCGTTCACGAGTAACGGGCAACTACTGACGTATGTCAGGGGTATAAATAGATCCACTCTGATCGACGGACTGGAGATTTTCCGGTTGTATAACGTTTCCATCGCAGCTCGAACAAATAAAGGCGAAGGACCTATTAACGAGTCCGTGATTGTCAGGACACATGGTAAAGGTGTGTATTTGCTTGTCAAGATTTTAACTTCCTTCTCTACTTGTTTGATTGTCCACAATAAGCAATAAAATTAACAAAGCGTTCATAGGTTATGTACCTTTTGGTCTGCACCTTAATGAAGGTGTGCTCAAAGCGGTGTATGTTATTAAGACTTCCTGTTGCCACTGCGATTGTATACAATATGCGCTACGTAAAGAGACTAAAATTGACCAACCACAGAACGAGAAGCGACTCAGCCAAAAACGTATTTGGCCTTATATATTATTGGTCCGCCTGTAATTTGAGGTCCCGAGATCGATTTGTTACCCATGCATAAATCAGACAGTTTTGATTTTATGAACCTGGATAACAATTGATAAGAAGGCAGCAATTATTAAGGTAAAAGTATCAACTGCTTGGAAGAATATGCTGTTATCACTTAATATTGCCTGGTGTAGGATAGTGAACACCCTTGATTCGAAAATGTCTTAACTTATTAACAACTTATGACTTGTTTTGCGACATTCCACAGCACCAGGAGCCTCCCCTCAGTCCCTTGCCGTCCAAAACATTAGTTCCTTCAGCTTATACTTACTTTGGCGAGAAGTAATGTCCGAATACCGTTATGGAATCATGCGTGGTTACAAACTGTCAATCTATAAGAGGACATCGGAAGGTTTTAAAAGCTGGGAAAATCGAACTAATGGACTGTTCTCTCCAAAAGCAAATCTCACTGGACTCATGCCTTTTACAACCTATAAGGTGGAGGTTTTAGGGTTTAACGACTTTGGTGACGGTCCATCGACTGCTGTGGAGGTTATGACTGACGAATCACGTAAGTGCATCTTATTGTCTTTGCTTTACAATTCCAGTAAAAATTGCACCTGTTTTATATTGCAGTGGCAATCCATTTATTTCTGGAGTGTTTCGGTTGAAGGCTTGTCTGACCAACTTACGAGTAAGTGAAAGACGGACTGACTGACCTGACTGACAAAGAAATTGTTCTCACTGTATTCTTAATTGCTTGACGTTTCAACGTGTCCAGGCCCCGGTCGTTAAAACGTTGGACAGGGATAACCAGCGGATAAATCACAATCCAGCGGATAAGTGTTAGGGAAAACGATTGCATTTTCCATTTGTTAGAGATTTATATCCACCTTTTGTTACAACTTGGGCCAGATCTTTACTTCGTTTCCACTTTCCAGACCCTTCCCAGCCTCCGAGTAACTTCACAGCTTCCAATGAAAGTTCTACAGCGGTGCGTCTGGTCTGGAAGCAAGTTCCCGAATGCTGTCGATTTGGAATCATCTTGGGCTATCACATAACCCTGACCGACCCATACAACGCCTCTGTGATTGCAAGGAAAACTACTGCCATTCTGACAGGGAACTTTTTAGGTCTTAAAAAGTTCCATAAGTACGATTTAACCGTCGAGGCCTTTAACAGCATAGGTACCAGTCCGAAGGCCTTTACGTCGGCTTTTACAGATCAGGATGGTAAACTTATTTTCCATCTCTTTTGCTTACCTATTAGTTCAGTGGACGCTCACTTCTCAAACTCATTACTATTTCATAAAGAATATACAAAGGAAATTAATGTTTGAGTTGTTGGAAATTAGATGAAAAACTGCTCATTTTTGCATCTTAATTTCCCCTTCTAAAATCATATTGTTTGAGAAGTAATATCAAGCATTCGACACAGTGTTTCATCACCAGATGAAACACCTCGAAGTTCGTCAAAAATACTCCGTTGCGCGTCGTATTTTCAACTCTCTTCTGAGTGTTTCATCTGGTGATGAAACACTGCGTCTCATGGTTGATATATTTCTTCAGATATTACTCAGCTTTTTACTCATATAGCTATGGGTTAATCATAAATCTCTCTAAAGGCATTATTCGATCACTGATTTTCGTTCAAACTAATTTCCTGTGCGCAGCTATTGCGGTACTTTGCCATTCTTTTTCAGTAAACCTAACTCGGTTACTGTGAAATATCACAAGCCGAGTGAAAAAGAGTAAAACATCCGTGGCTTAAGTGGGGAGGCGCGTATAAATATTTTCAGTGTTTAACCTCGATCGCCAGATTTCTCTCTTAACTCTTCTTAACAACTCTGGGAGGGGGAAGGGGGAGAGTACAAACCACGCGGAAAACTTCTCGAACTTGATATTTATACCGACAACCGGACACTGGACATAGTTTTGAGCAGACACTTGTTTTCAGAAATAAAAAACTTGCTTAAAGATACTGTTACTGATTGTTTGTTTCAGTCCCAGAGGCTCCTCCACAGAATATCAGTGGTTATAACATCAGCAAATCAGAAATTCTGGTATCCTGGGAACCGGTTCCCAAAGACAAAGTAAACGGTATCGTTATCGCATACAATGTGACCTACAGTAAGATCGGAGGGGGTCCCCACTCGGGATGCAAAATCTTCAATGGATCTCGTTCTTATGGTGTAATAGATGGATTACTACCTTTCACGGTGTACTCATTGAATGTGAGCGCTTCTACTGTCAAAGGACAAGGTCCAGCTAGTCCAGCTATTACTGTCAAGACAGAGGAAGAAGGTAGATGGTTTTTAATGTCTCTGTTAAGAGACAGGGTCAGGAATGAATCCCCAAACTCTTTACCTGTATCTCTCTCCACTTGCTGTCACTGCGTTAAAATGATACGCGATTCGTTTCTTCGTTTTGTACAGGACGCGCATTAGTTTTGTTGGATTCGTTCGTTTAGGATGTTAAAACTTATCTAGCTGATAAGGAAAAGATTTCGTAAATGAGACAACTTTCTTATTAAGCAAACATAAATCTGTTAAATATAACATGTTTTGNTTCGTTTTGTACAGGACGCGCATTAGTTTTGTTGGATTCGTTCGTTTAGGATGTTAAAACTTATCTAGCTGATAAGGAAAAGATTTCGTAAATGAGACAACTTTCTTATTAAGCAAACATAAATCTGTTAAATATAACATGTTTTGTGTCTAGACATACTCCCATTAACTTCGTGTCACCTCTTTCGCCAAAGTTCCATCTTCCTTGGTTTGCCACGAAGGGTTAGTGGGTTTAACCAAGCTTCTCTATGTGTTAGTTGGGGACAGCAAAGTTAAAAGGAAAAACATTCCCGGAGATACCATTGATGCCTGGGCCATTTCAATTGGGGTTTTTCCTTGAATGCTGGTTATTTGCAGTATATAACCTGGTTTTTACGAAAGTTACTTCACTAAAGTAACCATATCCTTAAATTTGTCACCGAGAAGGTGTTTCCAAAACTCAGAGCAAAAATAAAGAAAACAAGACAAATATTGGGTCCAAATCACTCGTACTTCATCAGCGTTGTGAACCCGTCAATTCACAACGCTGATGAGATGAAGTCCGAGTGATTTGAACGTAATATTTGTTTCGTTTTCTCAATTTTTGCCTTTAGTTTTGTAGTTTTCTGTACTAAACGTAAATTCATCGTTTGCTTCAGCCCCTCAGGTTTCACCCGCGCGATTTACAGGCTTCAACACAAGTTCGACATCTATTGGATTAAGCTGGGATCCAATCCCCCAGGAACAGGTGGCAGGAGTCCTGACCAATTTTTACATCACTTATCGCCAGTTAAACACCGCTGACAATACTACACACATTCTCGCTGTACCCATAACCAACCTCTCATTTGAATTAACCAATCTCCGGAAATACACGAACTACAGCATGCAGGTTAAAGGAGCCACGAAGTTTATTGGAAAACCTACTGAACCTATCATTATTACAACGGATGAGGACAGTAAGAAACTTTTTTTGCCGTTTGTTACATTGATCATTTGTCAGCGCCGTAGAATTTCGATCTACGGGTCTGTTGATTTAAACTGGGTTCACGAAACGGTTTTTAAATGGGCCCTTTACAAGTAATATGGTTATTTACACCGCCTTGAGAACCGATGAGAACGTAAATCGAAGTAGTTTTGCACTACAGTTACCATTTGAAAGTGGATTTTTGTTTACTTCCACTTTATGAAGACAAAGGCGCTAGATGTTACTGTTGCAGGTGTTTAAGGCACAATCTTGGAAGGGAGTACTTAAATACGAACCAACATAAGTTTTTTTTTTGTCCTTGATTGTAGCAATAGTTAATTAACAAAGTATCAACAGTTTAAAATTAACTAAGTTTTATTGACGTATTTTCATGATTTTTTTATTGAAGTTCCTTTTCTTAGTTCCTAGCCTTCCGCCTCAAAATATTAAGATTCGAAACTCCAGCTCCACGAGCATTTTCGCCCACTGGAAGTCAATTCCCAAAGATTCTGTTCACGGCATATTACTGGGGATTAAACTTGTATACCAGTCCGCGCCCAGAGACAACAGCATAGTGTTCAGGTCCCGCTCGAGGCGTTCAATAGAAGAGGGCTGGTCCGAGTTCACTAACATCACTTTACCTCCAAACGCACTGTCTTATGAGCTGACGTCATTAAAAAAATTTACAAACTACAGCGTTTTCATTGTTGGTTTTACCGTTAAAGGAGATGGAAATGTCAGTCAGCAGTTTGTTCTATCTACAGATGAAGACGGTAGGCAGGAGTTTTAATTTTCTTTATAAGTGGCGAGATTGACGAAGTTTTAGGATAAGATGTATACTAGGTATTGTTTTTCAGCGGTGGCCTACTTGTCGGAGACAAATCTAAGGTGTCTTTTCTTAATTAAGTTAAACCCTGTCCACATCGTCCATACTACAACGTTCACACTACAACTATAAGAAAGGGAGGCTTCGAAAACCGCGCTCTCGGAGGAGGAGACTTTTGAAAAGGAGTCTATAGTTTAGTGTGCCGGGACAGGCAAATGAGCATCAGAAGCCCTCGGGACAAATTCGTGCATTCGTCGCCGACCTGTTAATTGATTTCCTGCATGGTCATCTTCCGCGCGACATTTCTTTGCACTTAAAGGTGCTGTAATTCAGTTCAACACTAACCCTTGTTCTGTTTCTAGTTCCAAGCAAGCCACCTACAGCGCTTGTTCCTATATCGCGCAGCGGAGACTTTCAGATGAACGTATCCTGGGGACCGGTGCCAGATGGGTTTGTTCATGGTGTTTTGCGAGGCTACCGACTCTATTTCAAGAAAACACGAGAAACGGGGCGTGCAGCCTCCTCAGCGACTCGTGTTATCACATTCGGTCCTAATGAGTACCATGCGACCATGACTCTTCTCAAGAACTTCGCCATGTACAGCTTGGAAATAACAGCTTTCACTATCAAAGGAGAAGGACCAAGAACAGAGATTAAAGAAGGAGGTGGGTCCTCATGTCAGGCAATGGCTACAAAAAGCCGTGAAAATTCCTGCAGCGTTCCGTGATAAAAGGCTCCAGACAAATGTTTTTCTTTTAGACCTTAAAAGGTTCAGTTTTAGATAAACATAAGTAATGTCATCTGACATATATTCTTGTCTTCAACACATATACAGCACTCATAAAACCTGAATTAAATAAGCCATTCCGAGTTGCCTAAAGCCTCTATTTCAAAGCGTGGCTAAGAGCAAATCCACTGATAAGAAACTCATGTTTTATTCTCATCTAATTAAAACACATTTTCACAACAAAGGTTTCGCACTTAGCCTTGTTTTGAAAGTGATTGGAACTCGGAAATGGTCTTTACTTTGCTATTTTCTTCGTAATCACTGTATAATTTTGAAACCAAGTCAAATGGTAAAGGTAAAGGCGCACACGAGCCAAAGGCCCAAACGGGCGGAGCTTATCCCGGTTTCCTTAGCATGCAGCATGCCTAGGAGTATTGCTACTCCCCCCTGGACGGGATGCTAGTGCATCACGGCTATAGCCCCTAGTAGCATGTCGCCGTTACCCAATGGTTGGGGCGATCTTGCAGCTCTCGGAAGACCCCACGGGACTGGATTGCAACCGGTTGGGAAAAACAATAAACAGACAAAGTTAACTGAAGGGAACCTAGCCCGTAAACAGAAGAGCTGCGACCTATAGGGGTCCAATTGAATTAGAGGTTCTGGTGAGCTGAAAGGCTACTGATCTATACACCTGGGTGAAGAGAGACAAACTGGAGTAAAGTTCCTTGGCTAAGAAAACAACGCGGACGGGCGAGACTTGAAACGTGGACCTCCAAATCCGGAGTTCGAGGTGTTAACCGCTGGGCCACTCACGCCTCCACCAAGTCAAATGCAAGCTAATATTAATTAATTAAAATGTTTTTTTTTTTCATTTTGGTTTGTTCCAGGCACCTGCAAGTGTCCTCGAGTGTTCAAGACAAATTGGTACTCATTCTCACCTTATATTAAGTTCGAAAATGGCTCATTGGGGGGTTTCATGCCCCATATCTTGGAACATGCAGTGGAACATTGCTGTAGTGACTGCAAACAGGCCAATGGGAAATCGGCATCTACCATTGACTTTGACTCCGATGGAAAAGGCAATTTGGCCAGGAAATCTGGTGTCGACGAGTTAATCCATAGCATTGACTCGGATACTGATTTCAATCTGCCTGTAAATGGTTACCAAGGACAGACGCACTATTCACTGTATCGCTACGTCAAGTTAGCCGAGTCACCAGGAGTTGCTTTTATCACTGTCATGGATGAGGATGCGAAGATTGTAGCTGTGGCTAATGTTTTCTTCAATTGTTGGTCTNCATGGATGAGGATGCGAAGATTGTAGCTGTGGCTAATGTTTTCTTCAATTGTTGGTCTGTGCTCTTGCTCTCCGCCTTTATGATGGTGATGGCCGGTGTTGTTATGTGGATCCTGGTAAGTTAACTTGCTAATAAAGTCGTCTTTCCTCGCTGCCTCTAGGCTCCTAGCGGCGAGGAGCGAAGAGACACAGCTGTATTCGCAGGCTAAGTGAGCTTGAACAGCAAAGGTTGGGAAATATAATCGGTAAATATAAATCCAATGAAGCGATTTCAGTTAGAATTTAAAATTAAATAGAAAGAAAAATAAGCAAATGATAAATCAATTTATTAATCGACGTTGTTTAGGCATCACGCAGTTTTAAACATTTATGTATGCTAAATTAATCAAGTTTGTCATTTGAAATAAAATGAAGCGCGAGGTCTCATGGGCAGAAGAACCGCCGTCCTTTGCGTCTGGATAGATATGCGTCCTTCACGAGCTCTGATTTGAAGTACGTGATCTGCCTTAACTAAAAGTCCTCTTTTCTAATGAAGTGGCCATCTCTTTTGTAATAGGACACTCGATCAAACAGAGCTGAATTTCCCGGTTCATATATTCAAGGCGCTTATGAGGGATTTTGGTGGGCATTTGTTACATCTACAACAGTGGGGTGAGTCAAACATTGTAGCGCAGCAGGTAAAATTAGTAGCAACCCCCGCTAGAGTCAATTATATATTATAATAATTATAGAACTGCGACTTTAAAAGAAGAATGTGGATAAATTACTACCGTGTAGCCAATCTCTTTCGCAGTAAAAGAAAAAAAAAGTGAATTAATTTAAGAACCCTTGGAATGTAAAATGTTAAATGTTTGCTCAGCCATCTTTTCAAGTGTGTCGATTTTCCAAGAACATTTCTCCACACCAAGTTTAGTTCTTTTAAACTTTCTCTTTAAGTTTTGCAGTGATAGATCTTGAATGTATAGTAGCCCTTCATCAACGTAGCTCTGGAATACTTTCATTTGTCAGGGAGCGAACAATTTTCATTCTCAAAAGAGGAAAACGATCAAGAAAGGGCTACCTCTCCCCCCATTCCTGGTAACATGACGAATTCCAGGTTCGAAATTAAGTGTTAATCTTTGAGTTCTTTTTTGGGGGTATCCGAGGTATCAATACGTTACAAAAAGATCAAAATACTTCTCTTTTTACATTTATATGAAAGGATCTTTTCTTTGTCAGGGAAAAGTTTTGATCTTAATGTAAATATATTTCCAGTTACCAGCGTTTCCACTTTCGATTCCTATAATCTCTTACCCAGATCTCCCTCTGTCTAACCTTCGCCAGGTAGATCTGGGTACGATATTTCCTCACAAAAATAACACTTCTCTTTTCAAAGGTACGGAGACAAATGTCCGCGAGGGGTAGTAGCTCGCTTGTTTGGAATCACGTGGACATTGAGTGGTCTAGTTGTTATGGCCATTCTTACAGGAACCATCGCCACAGCTTTAACAGGATTCGGTGTCGAAGGGCCCTACATTTCCCTGTATGGCACCAAGGTTAGTTTTAGTTCTTAGTCGAGGCAAGATCTGAGCGTGACTACTTCAGATTTTCAGGAGTTCAGGAAAGAATTATCCAGCTCGTTTTTTACTGGCCCCTTTAGGAATAGGTCATGACGGCTTTAAGTAAGAAAGCAGAGAAAAAAGAACTTGAAACTTGGCACTCATAAAATCCATGTTTAACTTTAATTAACTTCAAGATAAATCACGTGACATGCCGTAATGATACATTTTTCCAGAAAATCACAAACATTTCACGATCTCCTGACGGACTAAACGAACCCTTTCCTGCCGTTTTCAGTCATTTTACTGAAACGCAACTCTCAATAAAGACAGATACCTCTCTATGACGATAATTGCGTCTGGTTCCGGGAGAGACTCGACTGCATCTTCCATTTCCTTTAATCTTGCTGTTTTTATTTTTTTTTCCCATAAAGCCATATTGTTTGCTCTTTTCTTTCCTCCTTTAGGTAGCAGCCATAGCGAACAACTCTGACTTTCGACTCGGAATAAGGAAGAATGCCAAGATAAGCACAGGTAAAAATTCACTCGAGAATAACAACTGTACATTGTTTTGCCTTTAGGCGCTTTAAGTTCAATTATTAAAGCTATTAAATATTTATTACTCACAGGCGATACCATGTTAGTAGCAATGATAGACGCAAGGTGACTGTGGTTCACCTTGAAGGGGAAAGCACGAGCATAGAAAAGCACTTGCTGTTTATTGCGCTGTGTGAAGTGGAACTATTCAAATGAAAACTTGGGAGCGATAAAGAATTGTCTATTCTGGTTCACAAGATGAATCCAAATTTTGTATTTTGATGTTGGGGAAATCGTCTCAAGCTTGCCCGTGTGAAGTTGAGCTCTTGTGTAATACTTCTGGGCAGGAAAGATAGTTCAAGATTTATAAAACGGTTTTTAATTATTTCCAAGAGCATAGCTACAAGACTTACGAGGAGATCAGCCAAGCTCTGGCGAACAGAAAGGTGAAAGGCGCCTTGGTGGACCTTTATGTACTGTCCTCTCACAAGCATCTGTTTGAGGACCCCCGATTTAGGATTGTCCGTATTTACGACTACAAGGCCAGTTATGGAGTGGTCCTTACTGGTCATTCCATGAAGCTCGAGGAGTGTTTTACAGAGCATATAAAGGGCGATTCTGCCGAAGTCTATGAGAGCATTGAGGAAAATATTAAGATACTTAAGGTATGTAACATAAACAACACTAGGCCCCTCTTAATTTACAGCTACGTCACCATAAAAGAAATAAATCAGGGCCCTCTCAACTTACAGCTACGTGATGGCATGGACTGAGCTGCGAGCTACAAAAATACAACATTGTTGACAACATAAAGTAACTTGATAGTGATAAATAACAAGGCTGTCTTCCTGAGGGCAGAGGGGGCCTGTGGTACACCAACAATAATCTATAGTTTAAAACACGAAAGTAACTGCTTAATACGAAGACTTAAGGATGCCCCTTCGATGCCTATTTAACTGGGTTGCGTGGTATTTACAAGAGAAGCGGAAGTAGAGTGCCCCGGGGATCGCCCGAACGTCCCATTTGCGTTGCGCTTTCGTACTAATCCCCACAACTAACCGGGGACAAGTTATTGGTGCGCTTTTACGCGGACCTGGGATTAAAATTAATGTCCCAAGATTTTTTGTTTACTCCTCACTGTTGAATTTCTTCTAGGAGCCACCCGACAGTCCAGCCGAACAGCAATCCACAGGCCTGTTTAGAGCCACTTCCACAAAGTTTATCATCGCGGTGACCGTAACTAGTACTCTGCTGATATTATACGCGCATTAGTTTTGTTGGATTCGTTCGTTTAGGATGTTAAAACTTATCTAGCTGATAAGGAAAAGATTTCGTAAATGAGACAACTTTCTTATTAAGCAAACATAAATCTGTTAAATATAACATGTTTTGCGTCTAGACATACTCCAAGTGACTTCGTGTCACCTCTTTCGCCAAAGTTCCATCTTCCTTGGTTTGCCACGAAGGGTTAGTGGGTTTAACCAAGCTTCTCTATGTGTTAGTTGGGGACAGCAAAGTTAAAAGGAAAAACATTCCCGGGGATACCATTGATGCCTGGGCCATTTCAATTGGGGTTTTTCCTCGAATGCTGGTTATTTGCAGTATATAACCTGGTTTTTACGAAAGTTACTTCACTAAAGTGACCATACCCTTAAATTTGTCACCGAGAAGGTGTTTCCAAAACTCGGAGCAAAAATAAAGAAAACAAGACAAATATTGGGTCCAAATCACTCGTACTTCATCAGCGTTGTGAACCCGTCAATTAACAACGCTGATGAGATGAAGTCCGAGTGATTTGGACGTAATATTTGTTTCCTTTTCTCAATTTTTGCCTTTAGTTTTGGAATTTTCTATACTAAATGTAAATTCTTCGTTTGCTTCAGCCCCTCAGGTTTCACCCGCGCGATTTACAGGATTCAACAGAAGTTCGACATCTATTGGATTAAGCTGGGATCCAATCCCCCAGGAACAGGTGGCGGGAGTCCTGAAAAATTTTTACATCACTTATCGCCAGTTAAACACCGCTGACAATACTACACACACTCTCGCTGTACCCATAACCAACCTCTCATTTGAATTAACCAATCTCCGGAAATACACCAACTACAGCATGCAGGTTAAAGGAGCTACGAAGTTTATTGGAATACCTACTGAACCCATCATTATCACAACGGATGAGGACAGTAAGAAACTTTTTTTGTTGTTTGTTACATTGACCATTTGTCAGCGCCGTAGAATTTCGATCTACGGTTCGGTTGATTTAAACTGGGTTCACGAAGCGGTTTTTAAATGGGCCCTTTACAAGTAATAGCTATATAATGGTTATTTACACCTCTTTGAGAACCGATGAGAACGTAAATCGAAGTATATTTGCGATACCGTTACCAATTGAAACTAGATTTTTGTTTACTTCCGCTTAATGAAGATGGAGGCGCTAGATGTTACTGTTGCAGATGTTTACGGCACAAGCTTGGAAGGGAGTACTTAAATACGAATTAACATGAATATATCATACTTTCTAAAGATTATTTTTGTTCAGGATTGTAGCAATAGCTAATTAACAAAGTATCAACTATTAAGTTTTATAAGTTTTATTGACGTATGTTTCATATTTTTTTTTTATTGAAGTTCCTTTTTCTTAGTTCCTAGCCTTCCGCCTCAAAATATTAAGATTCGAAACTCCAGCTCCACGAGCATTTTCGCCCACTGGAAGCCAATTCCCAAAGATTCTGTTCACGGCATATTACTGGGGATTAAACTTGCATACCAGTCCGCGCCCAGAGACAACAGCATAGTGTTCAGGTCCCGCTCGAGGCGTTCAATAGAAGGGGGCTGGTCCGAGTTCACTAACATAACTTTACCTCCAAACGCACTGTCTTATGAGCTGACGTCATTGAAAAAATTTACAAACTACAGCATTTTCATTCTTGGTTTTACCGTTAAAGGAGATGGAAATGTCAGTCAGCAGTTTGTTCTATCTACAGATGAAGACGGTAGGCAGGAGTTTTAATTTTCTTTATAAGTGGCGAGATTCACGAAGTTTTAGAAAAGATGTATACTAGGTATTGTTTTTCAGCGGTGGCCTACTTGTCGGAGACAAATCTAAGGTGTGTCTTCTTAAGTTAGACTCTGCATGTCCACACTGTCCATACTACAACGTTCACTCTACAACTACAAGAAAGGGAGGCTTCCAAAACCGCGCTCTCGGAGGAGGAAACTTTTGAATAGGAGTCTATAGTTTAGTTTGCCGGGACAGGCAAATGAGCATCAGAAGCCATCGGGACAAATTCGTGAATTCGTCGCCGACCTGTTAATTCATTTCCTGCATGTTTATCTTCCGCGCAACACGTCTTTGCACTAAAAGGCGCTGTAATTAAGTTCAACACTAACCCTTATTCTGTTCTAGTTCCAAGCAAGCCACCTACAGCGCTTGTTCCTATATCGCGCAGCGGAGACTTTCAGATGAACGTATCCTGGGGACCGGTGCCAGATGGGTTTGTTCACGGTGTTTTGCGAGGCTACCGACTCTATTTCAAGAAAACACGCGAAACGGGGCGTGCCGCCTCCTCAGAGACTCGCGTTATCACATTCGGTCCTAATGAGTACCATGCGACAATGACTCTTCTCAAGAACTTCGCCATGTACAGCTTGGAAATAACAGCTTTCACTATCAAAGGAGAAGGACCAAGAACCGAGATTAAAGAAGGAGGTGGGTCTGACGCAAATGGCTACAAAAAGCCGTTAAAATTTTTGTAGTGTTCCGTGATAAAAGGCTCGAGACAAATGTCCTTCTTTTAGACCTTAAAAGCTTCAGTTTTAGATAAACATAAGTAATGTCATCTGACATATATCCGTGTCTCCAACACATATACAGCACTCATAAAATCTGAATTAAATAAGCCATTCCGAGTTGCCTAAAGCCTCTATTTCAAAGCGAGGCTAAGAGAAAATCCACTGATATGAAACTGATGTTCATGCAATTAAAACACATTTTCACAACAAAGGTTTCGCACTTAGCCTTGTTTTGAAAGTGATTGGAACTCGGAAATGGTCTTTACTCTGCTATTTTCTTCGTAATCGCTGTATAATTTTGAAGCCAAGTCAAATGGTAAAGGTAAAGGCGCACACGAGCCAAAGGCCCAAACGGCCGGAGCTTATCCCGGTTTCCCTAGCATGAAGCATGCCTAGGAATATCGCTACTCCCCCCTGCACGGGATGCTAGTGCATCACAGGTAAAGCCCCCAGCAGCATGTCGCCCGTACCCAATGGGTGGGGCGATCTTGCAGCTCTCGGAAGACCTCATGGGATTGGTTTGCAACCGGTTGGGGAAAAATTAAACAAACAAGTTTACAATGGAACCTAGCCCGAAAACAAAAGAGCTGTGACTCATAGGGGAACAATTAAATTAGAGTTCTGAGGAGCTGCAAGGCTACTGATTTATACACCTGGGTGAAGAGAGACAAACTGGAGTAAAGTTCCTTGGCTAAGAAAACAACGCGGACGGGCGAGGCTTGAATCCCGGACCTCCAAATCCGGAGTTCGAGGTGTTGACCGTTCGGCCACTCGAGCCTCCACCAACTCAAATGCGAGCTAATTAATTAAAATGTTTTTTTTTTTTCATTTTGGTTTGTTCCAGTCACCTGCAAGTGTCCTCGAGTGTTCAAGACAAATTGGTACCCATTCTCACCTTATATTAAGTTCGAAAATGGCTCATTGGAGGGTTTCATGCCCCATATCTTAGAACATGCAGTGGAACATTGCTGTAGTGACTGTAAACAGGCCAATGGGAAATCGGCATCTACCATTGACTTTGACTCCGATGGAAAAGGCAATTTGGCCAGGAAATCTGGTGTCGACGAGTTAATCCATAGCATTGACTCGGATACTGACTTTAATCTGCCTGTAAATGGTTACGAAGGACAGACGCACTATTCACTGTATCGCTACGTCAAGTTAGCCGAGTCACCAGGAGTTGCTTTTATCACTGTCATGGATGAGGATGCGAAGAAACATCGACACCGATTACAAAAGAAGTTAACAACCAGAGTGCTCTTGCTCTCCGCCTTTATGATGGTGATGGCCGGTGTTGTTATGTGGATCCTGGTAAGTTAACTTGCTAATAAAGTCGTCTTTCCTCGCCGCCTCTAGGCTCCTAGCGGCGAGGAGCGAAGAGACACAGCTGTATTCGCGGGCTAAGTGAGTTTAAACAGCAAAGGTTGGGAAATATAATCGGTAAATATAAATCCAATGAAGCGATTTCAGTTAGAATTTAAAATTAACTAGAAAGAAAAATAAGCAAATGATAAATCAATCTATTAATCGACGTTGTTTAGGCATCACGCAGTTTTAAACATTTATGTATGCTAAATTAATCAAGTTTGTCCTTTGAAAAAAAAGGAAGCGCGAGGTCTCATGGGCAGAAAAACCGCCGTCCTTTGCGTCTGCATAGATATGCGTCCTTCTCGAGCTCTGATTTGAAGTACGTAATCTGCCTTAACTAAAAGTCCTCTTTTCTAATGAAGTGGCCATCTCTTTTTTAATAGGACACTCGATCAAACAGAGATGAATTTCCCGGCTCATATATTCAAGGCGCTTATGAGGGATTTTGGTGGGCATTTGTTACATCTACAACAGTGGGGTGAGTCAAACATTGTAGCGCAGCAGATAACATTAGTAGCAACCACCGCTAGAGTCAATTATATATTATAATAATTATAGAACCGGGACTTTAAAAGAAGAATGTGGATAAATTACTACCGTGTAGCCAATCTCTTTCGCAGTAAAAGAAAAAAAAATGTGAATTTTAAGAACCCTTGGAATGTAAAATGTTAAATGTTTGCTCAGCCATCTTTTCAAGTGTGTCGATTTTCCAAGAACATTTCTCCACACCATGTTTAGTTCTTTTAAACTTTCTCTTTAAGTTTTGCAGTGATAGATCTTGAATCAGTATAGTAGCCCTTCATCAACGTAGCTCTGGAATACTTTCATTTGTCAGGGAGCGAAAAATTTTCATTCTCAAAAGAGGAAAACGATCAAGAAAGGGCTACCTCTCCCTCCAATCCTGGTAACATGACGAATTCCAGGTTCGAAATTAAGTGTTAATGTTTGAGTTATTTTTTGGAGGTATCCGAGGTATCAATACGCTGCAAAAAGATCAGAATTCTTCTCTTTTTACATTTACATGAAAGGATCTTTTCTTTGTCAGGGAAACGTTTTGATCTGAATGTAAATTTATTTCCAGTTACCAGCGTTTCCTCTTTCGATTTACTTCC